CACAGCATTCACTCACCCATCCAAATCGTGGAATCAAGGTGTTCTAATCACTTCCAGGGTCACATGTGTGTAAAATCGAGCATGTAGGCATGCAGCCATCTTCTACAAACATTTGTGAAAGAACAGGTCACTCTCAGGAGCTCAGTGGATTCCACCATTGTACCCTGATAAGATGCCAGCGTGCAGCAAGTCCAGTCATGAAACTTACTTGTTACTAAATATTCCACTGTCAACTGTTGGTGGTAATATAACAAAGTAGAAGCAATTGGGAATGGTAAATGGCCTGTATTTGTATAGCAGTTTAATTAGTCCCTATGGACCCCAAAGCGCTTTACACTACATTCAGTCATCCACACACTGGTGATGGCAAGCTACATTGTAGCCACAGCTACAATGTAGGGGCTGCCGGACACTGGCGCCACCGGGCCCTCTGACCACCACCAATAGGCAACGGGTGAAGTGTCTTGCCCAAGGACACAACCACCGAGACTGCCGGAGCCGGGGCTCGAACCGGCAACCTTCCGAATACAAGAGGAACTGCCAACTCTTGAGCCACAATCGGCCAATGATGGCAACTAAGGGGATACGCTACGTAAAATCTCACTGCAGGGCCATGGATGGTGAGGGTTTCCATGGATGAGTACCTGCTTCCAAGCCTTACATTAACAAACTCAATGTAAAGCATTGGATGCAGAATTGTGAAGCACCAGACCACGGGGCTCCAGAGCAGTGAAGACGTGTTCTCTAAAGTGATGAATCACGCTTCTCTGTGTGCCAGTCCGATGGACGAGTCTGGGTTTGCTGGTTCAAAGACATTCCAAACTTTGTGGGAACAGTTTTGGATGGCACTGTCCTGTTCAAACATGACAAACATTACCAGTGCTTAAAGCAAGGTCCATAAATAAATGAGAGTTTGGTGTGGAAGAACTTGACTGGCCTGCACAGAGTCCTCACCACAACCCGAACATCTTCAGGATGAATTGGAACAGAGCTTTCGAGCCAGGCCTTCTCATCCAACATCAGTGCCTGACTTCACAAATGCACATCTGTATCATCAAAAATTCCCATACATGATCTGAAACCCTGTGGAAACCTGTCTTCTCAGAAGAGTTGTAGTTGTTATAGTTGCTGTTAACGGTTAACGGTCATATTAAACCCTTCAGATTAAGAATGAGAAGTCATTTAAGTTTTTATGTGAAGGCAGATGAGCAAATACTTACAGCAATAGAGTGTACTTATTTGGCCTTTGATTAATCATTATTAATTATGTTTACCACAACTATATTGCCTTTTTCTTATTTTCTTCCTTCCTTTTTTCACTCCCAGAAGGAGAACTCCTCTTTATTGTTTCATTGAGTATTTAATTCTGTTCTGTCCTCATTCATTGTCTCTCATTGTTTAGCGTCATTCATGCCATTTCCAAACTAATGAGTGAAGTCAGGTGGAGTACTTTAGAGAGGTCATGCCTCGCATACTGTTAATGCAAACGTTGCACATTGCCACTACAGTAGTGTAACGTTTGTCAGGGTGCAGGGGCTCCCCCACTGGCCTGGTTACCTGCCTTGTCTGTTGGCAAACCACACCTCTACATGGGCGCAGACTCACAGAGTGAAAACTAGGGGTTTTTAGCACAACCAAGATTAACTAACAAAATTCATTGGATCTCCTTTTAGCCACCTTTTGTTTGATTGAAAAGGTTGTTTGTTATGTTGTCCCATCATCAGAGATAGAAGAAAGATTGGAAGCCCAGGCTTTATTTCAGGAGGAAGGGTGCACACTCAGTGAAAAAGTACTCGGTTCTGAATTAGGTCTGTCAGGAAGAATCTGTGTGAGTCATGGCTTATACAGTAGATGGTTGACTTCATGATGAGACTCTACAGTGTTTCAGTGTGTGCAAAGAATTGGTACCAAACTCAACAAGATAAGTTGGTGAGAGTGCATTTACTGAACTCTAGATACCTGTAAGACCAGAAGTAGGGAAGAAAATGTACGTCTTCATGTACAGCAATAAAACTTTTGAATATCTAATAATTAAATAGGAGAAAATGAGGAAATGACATCAGTAATAAATGTTTCTATATATGAACAAAAAATTTTTTTGCATACATGACTGTATTTACATATGTAATTAAAAAATATTTTAAATAAAATAAATAAAATAAAATTGCCTGAAAACTAACACTCTTAATGGAAATTGTTATCATCTAAACCAGCTATGGCTTTAAATAGTCACAGATGAATTGTTCTTACTCCCACCTGATGCTGGGTCAGGTCCTGCGTTACAGCACTGCAATGCACTGAGAACATTTTTAGTGCATTCGTGTGTGTGTGCGTGCGTGTGTGTGTGTGTGTGTGTGTGTGTGTGTGTGTGTGTAATGAAATCAAGTAGATTTTAATTAAAATGCCCTCACTATCTTATATAGATGTCAGGACAGTATTGCTGTCACTGGCATATTTTATTGTGTCTTTATGTCATATAATCATTCCAAAACTGAAGAAAGCATCTTTCGTCTAAAAATAATGAACACTTGTATGTCTGCGGTTTGAGTTTACATGTTCAGCCATTCAAAAGGATTCTGATAGAGAAGACAGAATTGTAACCGTGCAAGTTAACAGTGGTTCAAACATGAATGCCGCAGCACACTGCACACATTTTAAACATAGTAGTTGAATTTGATATTTAATGTCCGGTTCTGTGACAGAGTTGCGGTGTTTAAATTGGTGATAAAAAAATGTGTTTGCAGAACAGAAATCTCACTATGAGATTTTGTCATGTGTGTATTACAGTTTTTCTGAATTGATTTGGCATTATTCTCACAGCAGAAAAGTCCTTCTCACCACTCTTAATACAGTTCACAAAACATTTAAGCCATTTTTCATAACACGTTTACTTCAACTCTGTGATGAATGAATAAGAACCTTTCACCACACTTTACAAGCATCATAATCTTACTGACTTTGGAAGGAGTTTTGTAAAAATAAAATGTGAAATATTTTGTTTGAAACTTTACAAAATTCCCGAAATGCAGAAAAGCACAATTATATTTGTGAAACTTTACTGTATGCATCAGAAAACAGACACAGGAAGTATATACAATCTGAGAACATAGGACCGACTGCTGTATACTCCAGCAAAGTCACGCTACATACATTCAGCAACTACTTTATTAGTAAGGCTGTTCTACTGCCAGACAACTTTGAGCTGATAGGAAGGTAACAGCAATGCAAACTCGTTTAATCACTCCCTTTAATATCCTTTAATCTCAAATAAAAAATAAAAAATCCTTCAAAGCATTCCTGATGGTTTTGTGTATTTTGTTAAAAAAACCCAAAAACATCTGCAGTGTTTTCAAAAGCAAAAACAAAAGATCTGATCATTTCAAATGCCTCAAACATTATTTAAAGTTAACATGTAAAAGCTGCTGTGATAAAGCTAATTATTTAAGGCACTACATCGCACAGTAGCAGTAATTTACATGACAAGCTTTTACAGATTCACTGGGGAAAAGACAAAACAAGCAAAGCAAATACATATTCTTTCCAACTCTACTATTAAGATTAACATAAAAAAGTCTCCTCCCCTTCATTTCAAGGTTTTAGATTTCTGCTGTCTAGTTTGGTGTATCAGCATTATTCACGACAGGCCTGTCCTTTTGTCTCCCATCTGTTATCACCTGTAGCCTTTCGCAAAGCAGCAACAGTGAACAGTGAAGGCCATTAACCTATTAGCTGATCACAAACTGTCAGGTGCCCCACTCAAGTCCTTGCTAACAATTCATTGATGGAAATGTGTTGTTTTGGCACAAGAGACACAGAAAATAAAGCCAAAGAAAAATAAACCACATCCATACTGTTAGGGAAACATTGAATGCAAACGGCTCATTTTGGAAAGATGTTCTTATGTCATATCTTTCCTCTAAGACCCAGTAAATCTTCAATTAGATGAGCCACAGTCATATTACATTTGGTTTAAACTGAGGGAATAAAATTTCCTTGTGCTTTGAAGTGATACTTAAGATTTTTCATCCTAAACAAGGTTTTCTGCTTTTTCTGTGCACGTAGGTAAAGAAGAGGATTTTGCACTTAAGTAAGGAACATTGAAGCTTGCTGTATGTATAATTTTATTTTTTAATTATGGAGTGTTTATTGAACCTTCTGACAAATTAAAATAAATACAAATAATTGTAAATAAATGTGTATATATGAGTTTTAATCTGGCATTTTTGAGCATTTTATTGCTCACAGTAGCACTGCATGTATCTGACTGTATATATGACGCTAGTCACAGTGACGATACAGAGGTCTTTAAAACAACAATATCAAATATAATACACTTGGCATTACAAGGTTAACAAGACATTTAGTGAAAGCTAAGTTAGGAACAGAGCTTGACAGCTGATTTAAATAAAAAAAAAACATTTTAAAGAGAAAGCTTGTAAAAGCACCAGTGTAAATCTTTGTAAGTTTATTTTAGATAAACCAAATTTATCCAATTTAGAATAGAAGAGAATGTCAAAATC